TTCGACCAGGCTCCTGATACCACTTGTAGTGGATCTTGACCTCGATCCCTCACTGTAACCTCTCCGATCTACCCTCGTGTGAACAGAACGAAAGAACGCAACCGGGATACGAGTTCAGCAGCTGAGATAAAATCTCGGTGCCTACGTCTCGGGAAGAGGAAGCTGCGTTCGTAGCTAAGGTTACAACCGATAAACACACCGGAAAGTCGATCGGAGATCGATTCCGATACACGGAGCGAAGGATCGCCTCCGTCAGAGAGAAAAGAAGAAAGAACCGAAAAAACACACACAATGAAAACCCTAACCCTTCGGTCAATAAACTCGACCTTACAAAGTTACCCTTTTGCCCCTAAGAGCTTCTGCTTCATCCGGAGTCTTTCAAACCTTCTGGCCGAAGTAGCGGGTTTCACTGAAGACATTCTCCACAATATATTTTTCAGAATTATAAAGTAAGAAAATAAAATAAAAGACACAACGGTTTAATCCACTAAAGGCAACTACCATCGTGAACTGATGGAGCTATGATTTGTGTTGACCATTTAGTCTCCAACTGTCACGAAACATGTATTAAGGAGACAATGGGTCTTAATGATCCTTAGCCCATCACCATGTGACGTGGCCTAAGGTTATAATTGACCCATGTATTCCAACACAATCCTCAGTCTTGGTAGCGAGGAGCAATAGCAACGTCAACGAGCCCGATGCCATTCCATTGCTTTGAGCTTACGCAGTTCTTGTCCAATGGGTTTCGAGTTCGATTCTCTCGGCCCACAGAGAATTTGGAAATCACGTGTAGACTTAGAAACTTGCAACTTATATCACTACAAAACAAAATATTCTATCCTAACGGTCAAATTCGTTGAAAATGGCTAAATTTTTGTTGGTAATTAATATTTTCAACGAATAAATCTGTTGAAATTACGTCGTTGGAAATTGACATCTGTTGAAATTTTCAACGTAATTTCAAATCGGATTTTTTCGTTGAAAAATTCCAACGGATTTTCTAACCGCAATCCGTTGGAATTTTTTAACGGAATTTTCAACTGCAATCTATTGGAATTTTCCAACCGAATTTCCAACCGCAATCCATTGGAATTTTCCAACTGAAATTCGTTAGAATATTGCAATAAAAAATTCAAAACATATTCCAATCGAATTTTCAACCGATTTCCATTGGAAAATCCGTAGAAAATCGGTGATTTTTTTTGTAATGTTAGGTCGTTTCGATTCCAATTTTGACGTGGATTCATGTTTAAACAGTACCAATATATTCGACATTTTAGGATCATTGTTAAACTCCTAACATTGAGCTCCAATCTCTACGTCCATTTTACCTCTCGCTTTCGATTTTCGGGATGTAAATAAACCCATCATTCATCAATGACAAGGTATTTTATAAAATGGCTAATTTATGATAGCAAACTTTATTGGATTCTTCCTTCCTTTGGGCATCCTCAGGAGAACAAGCGAGAAGTCAACAAAGACGGGTACAAGCTCGAGTGGCATGGGAAACTGTCTGCAAGCCAAAAAGGGAAGGGGGTCTCGAGCTCAGGAGTTTATTGGACTTAAACCTGGTACACCGCTTAAGATTATCGTGGCATCTCCTCAGCAACCCGTCATCACTTTGGGCGCGCTGGCTGAAGCAAAATGTGTGGAAGCAAAAAGGATATTGGACCACAACTCTCACCAGTAGGCTCTCATGGAACCTCAGAAAATTGTTGTCCTTCCGCCCCAAAGTGAAGGAATTCCTACGCAAACTGGCCAAGGATGGCAAATCGACGCTATTCTGGTATGACTCATGGCTAACTCCTAAGCCTCTTATTGATATGGTAGGCGATGAAGGGCCAAGACTGTTGCAGATCCCTCGAGAAGCAACAGTCGTCGATGCTTGCAGCGGCGGTAATTGGTTAGTCCAAGGGGCAAGAACTAATGCACTCCAAAACTTTCTTATCGCCTTGACTGAGGTAGAAATCCCATCAGCGCAACGAGGGCCTGATATACCAACAGGGCGACATGCTAATGGAGTCTATAAGTAAGCATTCTCCACCTCTAGAACATGGGAGCAGATTAGACAGCGAAGTGCGGAGGTTCCATGGCACACTATGGTCTGGTTTAAGTATGCAATACCCAGGTTTTCCTTCTTATTGTGGGAGGTTATGCTATCACGGCTGCCAACAAATGATCGACTCACAAGATGGGGGCTGCAGGTGGACCAGGCATGGGTCCTATGTTCAGCGGGTACCGAAACACACGGTCATATTTTCTTTGAATGCAGATTTAGCTCCCGGATATGGCAAAGGATGGGAGGACTATGCTGGCGATCACCTCCATCGACCGTTGACCTCTGTTTAGGATGGATCGCAAATCCGGCAAATGATGCGAGCCACCACAGGTCCCTCCTGGCAAAACTACTACTGCAAACAACAGCCTATTATATTTGGAAGGAAAGAAATCAAAGGATCTTCACAGCCTCCAAACGCAGTGTTGACAATATTATCACAGACATTGATAAAAGTCTGAGAAACACTCTGCTTCCCCTATCCAGGAACAACCCAACCAATCCACTTGAAGACTGGTTTCATATCTCAAATAGCATCGGAACGCAGCTGCAATAGGACAACTTAATTATTGACATCCATCTAAGGCTTATTTTGGAGCATGGTATTCATTTTGTACAGCTTAGGCTGGAAACTTTTGTAAACTTTTTGATTGATTTATAATATTTACCCTAATTACCACAAAAAAAAACTTTATTAGATTCATGTTTAATGGGTGAGATGATATGAACCCAAGAATATATATTCCTAGAATCTATGCATGTGAATTCGGTTTTAGGATTCTGTTTAATAATTTTGTTTTTTACTTTAAAAAAAAAACAATCGTAAGATTTTGATATTTTTGGGGAGAAACCAAAGTGAGAGTCGTCCACAAACTGGCATGCAAAAACTGATAATATTAACTGATTGAATCAGCAGTCATATATATATATATATATATATATATATATATTATATTAAAATATCAAATTGATTAGGGTCTACAACAAAAAATAAAGAGCAGTCATAGAGCAGTAGGAGCTGGGAAAGCGGCAAGCAAAAAGACAAGACTGGGGTAACATGTCCAAGCACAAGGCCCTTAACACGATCTCAAGCAGTAACATGGTTTCTTCAGCGGGATTATAATATTTAATGATATATACATGCAACTCGAAATAAACATAATTTATATAAATATATCACAGTAATTATCGTAAAAAATAATAATAACTGCAGAATCGCCGTCGAAGTCGCGCCGATCGTGCGCTCCTCGTAATAATTAACAAATATATCTTGCGTAATAGTTGATTAAACCGACCATTTATGTATTGTTCATCCGAAGATGAGTTTGACTTTTGAGTCAAATCATATATTGCAAATACTCTGACAACTTTATTTTTTAAAATTATCCCCAAAGTACATAGCCATCGTTTTCGGTCGAGATGGGACTGTTTGCATAGTTCAACGTTGTCGCTTATGAGTTGATTTTGACTTGGGATCCATTGTATTAACAAATCAAAGTGGATAATATATAATTATATGAGTTGAATTTGATTTAAAAATTAATTAGATATAATTTTTTTTCAAATTAAATTAATAGAATTTGAATTGAAAATATAAAAAAAAAAGAATTGAAACTAAAATTGATTTAGAAAATGAAGATTATTTCAACGAAAACAGAATTTAAATTACAATCGATTCAAATTCAAACTTAAATCGGATATAAAACGAAATGCATATAGTTTTAACAACTGAATCCAAAATATAATGTGAGATTGATTAATAGTGAGATTGATTAATATCACATCTCGTGGAAAAGATAAAGGAATACCAAAGATTTATTGTGCCCATATGAGATTTTGATTAATATACCCCCCGATATCTTGTGTATAATTTGAATGGAATATAAATAGAATATTTATTTTGGATTTAAATTTCATTAATTAATTTATAAATGGGATATCTATGTATAATTTGTGGCGTCAACCGATATGTATATCATAGTGCAAAAATCTATATAAGTTGAGTTAATTAGTAACATAAACAGTCCTCCAAATGATGGATTGTCGTTTGCGTCATATCATATGTATTGTGTAAGAGAATGAGGTTGGCATAATCACATTGACAATAAAAATTCATATATGGAATAAATTCCAAAAACATTTATTTGAATAATTTTTTTTTATAAATTTTAAAAGTTGGAGTGTTTATTTGCAAGTTTTGTTATATAAGTTTAAGCCGACATTGGAGGTTTCGTTTAACTTTATGTATTATCCAATTGGACCGTACTTATTTTAATTGGATGTTTGGTACCAACCTCTCGCAGTTGGGTTCATATCATGTGCATTCCAGATGTTCAAATTTATTAAATATACAATTTGATAATTTCATAAAAAAATAAAATAGAGAAATTAACAAATACTGGTTTTGAAGATGAAATGAATAAAATAATGCATTTTTAAAATTCTTAATATTGTTCCAACTTTTTGTCCTGTGGATCCCACACGATATAGGAGTCCGATACCTGAGACGCCAATCAGAAAAAGTGACCAACTGGGTTCTTAGGTTCTCGGCTAATTTCAAAATTCTAAAGATATTATATTTTGTAAATAAAATCTTAAAATATATATTTTTTTCAGAAAATCTATATAATTTTTTTGTGAAGAGAATTTAACTTATCTTACTAATACCCAGTAAAATGTCAGAAAACTAAAGTGTAAATAAAATTTCGGGTATGACAAGGATATTATTCAATCACATGTAACGCTTTTATTATTGTCTCATTCCATGAGCTCGCAAATACAGAACTCAAGCTCAAGACGGCTATATTTTTTTTTCCTGCATTATATATATATATATATATATATATATATATATATATATATATCGATGTATCGTCGTCACATTGGCTTATAAATAGCCCCAAAATCCATGCGAACCATCAACATTCATAGCATCACTAGCTATCCCCATCACCATCTACATAACCATAACCATGCAGAACGTGAAACCACGCGCCGCCTTGCTCGCAAGCCCCGGGATGGGCCACGTCATCCCTGCCGTCGAACTCAGCCACCGCCTCGCCGCCCTCCACGGCTTCCACGTCACCGTCTTCGTCCTCGAAGCCGACCCAGAGTCCGCCCAGTCCCGCTTCCTCAGCTCATCCTCCCCCGCTGCTACTGACTTGGACGTCCACGTCATCACCCTCCCGCCGCCTGAGATCACTGTCAATCCTTCGGCCCACGTCGTCGTCAAGATCGCTGCGATGATGCGTGAGAGCGTCCCGGCAGTCCGATCAAAGATAGCGGCGATGCCCAACAAACCAACGGCTCTGATCGTTGACTTGTTCGGCACCGAAGCATTGCGGCTAGCAGACGAGTTCAATATGTTGAAGTATGTTCTCATAGCCTCCAACGCGAGATTTCTCGCAGTGGTTTTATATTTTCCGACGCTTGACGAAGCTGTGGAAAAGGAGCACGTAAACCGGAAGAAACCTCTCGCTATACCGGGATGCGAACCGGTTCGCTTTGAGGATAATCTCGATGCATACCAGGACCGTACCGACCCGTTATACCACGAGTTTATGCGTATAGGTAAGGCGTTTGCAACGACAGACGGGATTTTGGTAAATACGTGGGAGGAAATGGAACCTAAGACGTTGAAATCGCTGCAAGATCCGAACCTTTTAGGCCGGGTTGCTCGTGCACCGGTTTATCCTATCGGCCCGTTGAATAGACCGGTCGAAACTGCTAAAACCGTTCGAAGCCCGGTTTTGGAATGGTTAGACAAACAACCGGCTGAGTCGGTCTTATACATCTCGTTCGGGAGCGGCGGCTCGCTGACGGCTAAACAGCTGATCGAGTTAGCTTACGGGCTCGAGCTGAGTCAACAACGATTCCTGTGGGTGGTCCGGCCTCCAGTTGATGGCTCAGCATCAGCAGAGTATTTCACGGCCAACACCGGAGGCGGAAACGGCGGGGATGGGACGCCAGGATATCTGCCCCAAGGATTCGTAGCAAGGACCAGGAATCTCGGGCTTGTGGTCCCATCATGGGCCCCACAGGCCGAGGTTCTGGCTCATGTGGCCGTGGGCGGGTTCCTGACTCACTGTGGATGGAACTCAACCCTGGAGAGCATCGTGAACGGCATCCCGATGATTACGTGGCCGCTCTTCGCCGAGCAGAGAATGAACGCGAGGCTGCTGAAGGAAGAGATCGGCGTGGCCGTCGGATCGGAGGAACCATCGGATGGCTGTGATTGCTTCTTCGTTTCGAGGAACGAGATCGAAGGGATGGCGAGGAAGATAATGGCGGGGGAAGAAGAGAATGAGATGCGGAAGAAGGTGATGATGCTTAGGAACTCGGCGGAGAACTCACTGAGCCGTCGTGACTCGCTGTCGAAACTCGCCAAGGAGTGCGAGATTCATTTGGAGCGTGTGATGGACATGCAACGTGGTGGCTAGGGACGTGAGCTTATCGTTTTACGTTTCTGCGTTTGGATTGCGTGTTGTTTTTGGTGCATGCACATGTAATCACGTGAAACAATGTATTGTGCCTATTTACGGAATAATTAATGTCGATTGTTCGATTGAATTGCCAATTATATGTAGTGTCTAAATCCTCTGTCATACACTCTTCGCCAAAGATTCCGTTAACAAAAAAAAAATAAAATCCAAAGATTCATAAAAAACTTGAACTCTCGGCCGAGAACGCAGAGGAATTTACGAATTAAAAAAAAAAATTTGTATAAGTATTTTACTAAAATACCCTTACGAAACTTCTTGACGGGTTGGAGGGTTCCCTTGTCCAGAAACACACCTCTGAACTTCAGCACAAGATGACATTACTGATTTCCGTTGGTTCAATTGTTTTCCCGTGGTGATTGCTAATTCAATTGGTTAAATCTCTCGTCTAGTGTCTCAAACGAGCTAACTCACCTCAACTCTAATTGGATCGAAATGAGTCCGTTCGTTTTGTGTTCAACTCATTCAAAATTCGACATGAACTAAACCAGTCGACAAAAAAAATATTTTTTATTCATATTATACAAAATACCAAATAAAAATAGTTAATATAAAATTTTAAACATTAAAACATCAAAATTAAGAAGCTTATAAAATAAGTTATATACATATCCAATAAAAAAAATAAATTAAACATTAATTTTCTATAAAATACATAAAAATATATATATCAAACATTGTATAAGTTTACATGAGTTTGTGACTCATCAAAGTTTAGTATGCGATGATGAGTTGGTTCATCTTGATAGCGGATATTACGCGATTATATATGTTTGTTACCTTATATGTATATATTGACAGATACGCTCATGGATATATATATATATATATATATATATATGTGGGAATAATAACACAAGACCCAACAAGGGAATTCTCCTAAGTTTCATGGTATCAGAGCTTTTGCATCCTCTAACCTAGCTCCGCCGCTTTCTCTCTTCATCTCTTTGTTTCAATTCCCTGCAATCGTCTCTTCCTTTCTCACGCAGTTTTCACCATGGCCACCGATACCATTCAATCCGAAAAACCTTTTGGAGTGAGCAACATCAAGTCTCATGTACCGATCACCCTTAACATGGAAGAATTCAACTACGATGTGTGGTGAGAACTATTCGAGACGCATTGTCTCAGTTTTGGAGTCATTGGCCATCTCGACGGGACCACCGTTCCCACTGGAGAAGACGAAAACAATTGGAAACGCATTGACGGTCTGGTCAAGCTCTGGATCTACGGATCTATTTCTCAATCCTTACTCACTACAGTGTTGAAAAAGAAAAGCACGGCCCATTCATTATGGACACGTTTGGAGAACCAATTCCGTGATAATAAAGAAGCACGAGCCATTCAATTGGAGCATGAACTCCATACTCTCACCATTGGAGATCTAACTATTCATGACTATTGCCAAAGGCTGAAGAAGATTTCGGATCTGTTGTCCAACATTGAAGCCGATGTCTCCGACAAAGCCTTGGTGATGCACTTGTTAAACGGTCTCAATGAGAAGTTTGATAACATTGTCAACGTTATCAAACATAAAACACCATTCCCGACGTTTGAAGATGCACGATCCATGTTGGCCTTAGAAGAACAACGACTCTCGAAGATAACTCGTCACCAACCATCTCACGCCGATCACTCCTCTGCACCAAACGTGCTATATACGACAATTGATTCTACTCCACCAACGTGGTCTCCAAATCCACGACCTCCTCATCACCGCGATGGACGCCACGGAGGACGTCGTGGTCGTAACCGTGGCCGTCGATACTACAACAACCATCATCCACGTGGCCAAGTATGGAACAACACCAACTGGCCAACATTTTGGCCTCACCCTTGGTCACACTCGTCTTATGCTCCAGGAATTCTTGGGCCTAATCCTGGACAACAACCTCCTGTTCGTGCTTCCCCACCACAATGGTCACCTCCATCGGCTAATACAGCCAACATCGAACCTCATGCGACATCATTGGCTCATGCTCTCAACACGATGACTTTGCAAAACCTGGCAGACAATGCTTGGTACATGGACAGCGGTGCAACGGCCCATCTTACAAATCAGCCAGGTAACCTTCGAACCGTTTTTAATTCGAGCATTAATCCCTCTGTCACCGTTGGTGACTTTAGTTACCACTCATCAAACCGGACATACAACCCTTTCTTCCTCCTCACGTAATCTTAACTTACGAAATGTTCTTGTTGCCCCATTCATTATAAAGAACCTTATTTCCGTTCGCCAATTTACTACCGATAATGATTGCACTATTGAGTTTGACTCTCTTGGTTTCTCTGTTAAGGACCGCCCAACACAACGGACTCTTCTCCGATGTGATAGCACCGGACCTCTCTACCCATTCACCGAGCCGAAAACCACCGAACCTACCGCTCCCATCGCACTCATCACCTCTTCACCTATCATATGGCATCGTCGATTGGGTCACCCGGGCAACTCCGTATTTCAACATTTATTTTCTCATGGTTTTTTTAAGTGTAATAAGCCGGACTTGTCTTCCTCCTGTGAAGCTTGTCATCTCGGCAAAAGTGTTCGACTTCCTTTCTTTCGGTCAAATTCATTGGTTTCCTCTCCTTTTCAAATAATTCATTCGGATGTATGGACCTCACCCATTTCTAGTGTTAGTGGACTACGTTATTACGTTGTATTCCTTGATCACTATACACAATTTCTTTGGATATATCCACTTCGTCGAAAAAGTGATGTTTTCTCTAAATTCCTTCATTTTCATGCATACGTCCAAATACAATTCCATACCAAAATACAATCATTTCAATGTGACAATGGGGACGAATTTGATAATCATGCATTTCACAAATTCTTTGATGAACATGGGATATCGGTTCGTTTCTCTTGCCCCCACACGTCTCAGCAAAATGGCAAAGCCGAAAGAATCCTTCGAACCATTAATAACCTCATCCGAACACTACTTATTCAAGCAAAACTTCCTCCACAATTTTGGGTGGAAGCCTTGCATATGAGTGTTCATCTCCTTAACCTTTTACCTTCGACAGCCATTCAAAAAAAAAGCCCATACACCAAACTTTTTCATAAACCCATTTCACTCTCTCATCTAAAAGTCTTCGGATGTTTGTGCTTTCCAAATCTCCTCTCTACAACACTACACAAACTATCACCGAGATCTACACCATGCATTTTTCTTGGTTATCCTTCCCATCATCAAGATTATAGATGCTTCGATCTCACTTCTCGAAAAATCATCATATCTCGTCATGTCCATTTTGATGAGAACAATTTCCCATTTTCAACTTTCAAACAATCACCACAACCTTCTTATGATTTTCTAGACAAGAAAACAGAAATCAATCCATTTTTTCGACATCTCCGAGAGATGCCCATCGACTCACCGACGATGCCTATTCCCCAACCTACAAGAGTGATCAACCCTTCACCAATCATTTCCGAGACACACTCAAACTCCACCGACCGACCGTTGCCTACACAACCTCAAAATTCCCTCATTCCACATCCAATGAAGACTCGTAGTAAATCTGGAATTTCAAAGAGAAAACAAGTCATCTCTCTCTTAACCGAAGCCATCTCACCTTTACCCAAATCTCATCTCTTTGCACTAAAGAACCATCATTGGCGTCGCACAATGTATGAGGAATACGATGCTCTTATTAAAAATGGGACGTGAGACTTGGTTCTCCGACCCTTCGGGGTTAATGTTGTTCGTTCTATGTGGCTTTTCAGGCATAAGTTTAATGCAGATGGAACTCACGCTCGTTACAAAGCTCGACTCGTTGCAAATGGCAAATCTCAACAACCGGGACTCGACTATGGAGATACATTTAGTCCCGTGGTAAAACCGGCGACAATTCGAGTTGTGCTAAGCATTGCATTATCTCACAATTGGCCAATCCATCAACTCGACGTCAAAAATGCATTTCTCCATGGAAACCTTGAAGAGACGGTTTATATGCATCAACCTCCGGGATTTGCCGATCAAGACAAACCAAATCACGTTTGTCTTCTACGACGTTCACTCTACGGATTGAAACAGGCCCCACGGGCTTGGTTCAACAGATTTGCCGCCTTTGTCCAGCGAATCGGATTCAAACTCAGCAAATGCGACTCGTCCCTCTTTACCATGCACAATGAGATGGGTTCAGCATTTCTCTTGCTTTACGTGGACGATATCATTCTTACAGCGTCCTCTTCAAAGCTTCTCGATGCTGTCATTCAATCTTTGCATGGCGAGTTCTCCATGACCGACCTTGGCTCCTTGCACTACTTCCTTGGAATACAAGCCACCATGAATAAGGATGGGTTGTTCCTATGCCAATCTCAATATGCGGCAGACATACTCCATCGAGCTAACTTGGACTCCTGCAATCCATGCATGACACCTGCCGACACCAAGCCTAAGCTCGCTGCCGAAGTTAGCAAACCTGTCGAAGACCCAACTCTCTACCGTAGTCTCGCCGGTGCTCTCCAATATCTCACATTTGCAAGACCCGACATAGCCTATGCCGTACAACAAATTTGTCTCTTCATGCATGATCCACGAGAAACTCATATGAATGCTTTGAAGCGCATCCTCAGATATGTTCGCGGGACAATGACACACGACATTCAACTACATCGATCATCTCCGACCACTCTAACGGCATACTCAGACGCCGATTGGGCTGGTTGCCCCGATACTCGCCGTTCAACATCGGGGTATTGCGTTTTCCTCGGAGAAAACTTGGTTTCTTGGTCGTCGAAACGACAACACACTATATCCCGATCGAGTGCCGAGGCTGAATATCGAGCCGTCGCAAACGCTGTAGCTGAAACTTGCTGGCTACGCAATCTTCTGTCCGAGCTACACTCACCACTCAAACGATCAACGGTGGTGTTTTGCGACAATGTGAGTGTCGTTTATATGTCGGCGAATCCGGTTCAGCATCAACGGACCAAACATATCGAGATTGACATCCATTTCGTCCGAGAAAAGGTTGCCATAGGCCAAGTACGTGTTCAACATATCCCTTCTTCGTATCAGTATGCTGATATCTTCACCAAAGGTCTGCCGACATCCTTATTCCCCGACTTCCGATCCAGTCTGAGCGTTCGCCACTCTCCCGCTCCGACTGAGGGGGTGTGATAGCGGATATTACGCGATTATATATGTTTGTTACCTTATATATATATATTGACAGATACGCTCATGGATATATATATATATGTGGGAATAATAACACAAGACCCAACAAGGGAATTCTCCTAAGTTTCACATCTAACTCGGTTTTAGACGAGTTTTATTCAACACGTTTAAAAACGAACCAATTCAGAAACTGAACTCATTGTAATGACCTAATTGTAAGTACCCAGATATAATAATTAACAAATATATATCTCTATGTACTTAAGTATAGGGGTGGGCATATATAATATCCGGAAAATCTAAACCGATCTGTTATCCGAACCGTAAATTCAGATATTCGGAGTCTACGGATATTGATTTTAAAATATTTGACGGATGCAGATATCATTGAACGAAATATCCGACCTATCCGATCTGATCCGTATTTTGTAGTAATTCGATTAAATATAGGATAATTTTGTAATTAATTTATACTTATGGGATCATTTTGAAAAACATAAAAAATATACTAGGGTTTTCTCATCAAAAACTCGAATCACTCCGCCTCTTCACTTCCTCTCCTCTTTCGTTGTTGTTCCTCATCATATTTTTTTCACTATTTTTTCGTTTTGTTTCTCTTTCACTACTTTATTTTGATTATCCGATAGATGGATTTGATTTTGCATTAGGACTAGAGCTTATTTTTCTTGGGATTAATATTGTCTTCCAAAAAAGCTGGGCACAATTTCTGTTTTGCAGTTTTATTTATTTTTGTTGTAAAAGTCTGTATAAGTTTTGAAACACTTTCTGTAGCATAATCTTTTATTTTTTATTTCGGTAATTTCTACTTCGTATTTATTGAAAGTTCATGATTAAATAAAACACGTTTTTCCCAGAAAAAGCTTTTTTGGTTCTATGTTTGCATTCTATTTTTTAGAAACAAAACATAACAATTTTTCCTTTGGATAAAACTTGAGAACATAGTTTTATTTTCTACACTATTTTGTGGTCTTTTTTTCGGTAAAGAAGTCTTATTGAAAGGTTTTACAAAATACTCATACAAATATTTAATCTATTTTATTTTCATTTGAACCGCTTTACGATGTTTTATTATGATCTTTAAATTTTGAATTTTATTTGTATTTGAAAAATTATACATTTATTTGTATTCGAGTTTTTTAAAGTTTTATTTTTCATGTTTAACCTATTTTAATCGGATACAAATATTCGTAAATATCCGATATTTTTTCGGATATCCGAAGTTGCGGTATCTGAAATATGCGGATCGGATACAAATAATAAAATTACATATTCGTATAGATCGGATACAGATATAGATATCTAAAAAATACCGGATATTCGATCTGTACCAACTCTTACTTAAGTATATCAACTATACAATTTTAGTTTCTTTAATTTTATATCTAATTACTCATCGGAAGATGAGACTTGAGTTTTTAAGTCAATCATATATAATTAAAATAATCTAAAAATATCTTTAAAAATTATCCCTAAATAAGAACTATCTTTTTCGAGATGGGAGCTTTTTAATATCCAATAAGCATATGAGTTTGATTTTTCTTATACGAGATCCATTGTATTCTTCATGACATCTGGGATTGAATTTTCCGTTCGGTTGAAAATTTTGAATCAAAATAATAATATATAATTAAGTCTAAATTTGTGGATAAAAAATAGATTAGATATGATAATTTTAAAATGAATTTGAAATAAATATAATACAATTTTAAGGAAAAATAATGTTTTTTTAATGAAAATAAGTATTTTAAATTAAATCTGAACCAAAATCAAAATTTTAAAATAATACAAAATGAAATAAAATTGATATAAAATCGAATTGTTATATTATATTTTTATAAGACTAAATAAATTTAAATAATTTTTTAGAAAATCAATGTTTATTTATGACAAATGAACCAAAATTGAATCCAAATAAAATGTGGAATGATCCAATATCTGAAATAAAAATAGAATATATATATATATAAGGAAAAATGATATTTTTCTACTCGAATTTAATCAAATGTGACCTTTTCATATACATATTTTTAATTTGACAAAAAACTAAACTTGAATTCAAAATTTCCCAAATGTCTACACGAATTATTAAAATTAACAGTAATTACATACATAATCATCATTTTTATTAAAAATTTTCGAATTTTGTTAATTAAAGCATTAATTATATAATTACTATAACTACCACACACGTCGGCGCATTAATTAACAGAATCCGAAAATTTTATCGAAAATATTGATTATGTATGTAATTACTGTTAATTTTAACAAATCGTGTAGAGATTTGGAAAATTTTGAATTCAAATTTAGTTTTTTATCAAATTAAAAATACGTGTATGAAAAGGTCACATCTGACTAAATTCGTATAGAAAAATATCATTTTTCCTATATATAATTTCTTTTATAGAACTAAAAGAAATTAAACCGGAAAATAATGAAACCCATATATATTTTATACCCAAGGTTTGCTATTTTGCAATATATGGATCTTGTAAGAGAAAGAGGTTGACATAATGATATCGACAAGGAAGCTCGTACATGAGATAAATTCCAAGAATATTTGGTTGAATAATTTTTTATAACTTTAATAGTTGGAATCTTTATTAAAGTCATGTTAATTTTATGTATTATCCAATGGGACCATACTTATTTAAATTGGATGATCAGTACCAACCTCTGTAATTGGGTTCATATCATGTGCATTCCATGTGTTCAAATTTATTAAAAGATGTAAATTGATGTTTTATAGTATCTAACTGAAATTGTTAAACTTTTAGAAAGAAAATAATATAGAAAAATCAACAAAATTAATTTTTATATTTGAAATTATTAGTTTAGGAATAACCAAATCGCGATATTTACGATTTCACATCGATTGGTGTGGATCCTAATTACACCCATTTTTTTTAATTACCCGAGAACCTCTTGCCTAAAAGTCTCTTTGCCAATAATTTTAACAAACCCACGAATATGCAATTTTCCCCCATAACAATGCTCTTTAGTTATGATAGTTTTTTACCTGATATATTCAATTTTGTATTTTTTCGAGAGTTCCGCACATTTCTATAACAGTAATACTGAAGATATTATATAGTGAATTATCTAAATCATTCAAAATATAATTTTTATATAGAAAATTTGAGTCTTGCTAAACCTCAATCACTACGACACTCTTTATCTGACATAGTCTTCATCGAGTTACCAATATCTTCCTTGATATATCTTTGCAATGACAGTGTTGTCAAGTAAAAGAATATCTTCGTCTGTCACCTAATGAAATCAACACCACTTTGTTGGTTTTTTCCTAGTGCAAGTGGAGGTACAAGTGGATAGGAGTCAATATGGGCACAACCACATACGTAGGAGTAGCACTTTCAAATATTTATGAAATTCATAATATCATTTTTTAGTATTATAATTAAAAATATCATAATTTTAAAATTTTACCATAATAATTTCTGAAATTGATTGAACTCACTGAGGTAATAATCTCTTAGCGAAAAAATCAAAATATTATTTAAATATTAACCAAATTGTTCTCATGTAAAACAGGACCAATTCTATATACATATAGCGCATAATTATTGAACCTCTTTCTTTACAAGAATTTTCATGTAATCAACATTTAAATATTTTGTCGGATTTTTTTCAAAATTGGAAAATCTTACTTTGTCTCCTCAAAACAAAGGGTTTTTCCACAATAATAAAATCAAGAAAATATAAAATAACACAATATAAACTAACGATAGTTTTTCTTAAAATTGTTGGTCATGTTATTTTATATATTTCATATTTCATTTACGATTATTTTTCCAATTTCACTTCGAATTTTGAACTCAATAACTTTCAAAATACATAACCAAATCATGTACACTATATATCATTAGAAAGATAATCTTGATATCTACAAATAGACATAAAAAAAATATACAATTCCGATAACGACACAGAAAGTTATGAATAAAAAAATATTATTATATCAATAGAATCTTCAAAACTTATTAAAAAAATTAATTCGAACCCACGATAAACCGTGTCTCTTTAAAAAAAACTATTCATCTCTCATTATCTATGATTGAACGAAATATAATCTATAAGGATATGACACACATACACTCCGTTACTTTGTCAAACTCAAAAGGCCGATTTGAATTACAAAGAATTTAAAATATATTTTTTCTCCTTGCAGAAGCTTTTTTTTTTTTAAATGTGTTTTGAAAATGAAAACAAAGATGTCTATTTATAGAAAACAAAAACTATATGAAATGTTCGAAAGAGGTCATTAAGAATTAATGGGAAAGTGAGCCAGTGTTGAAAATAGAGAAAGTGATGCTAAAAAAAAAACTTCTCATATGTTCCATTTAATTAAAATAAGAACCCAACAGTTTGAAACTCTTATCTTTGACTTCATAATATATTTTAAAAAAATAGAGGAAAACATTTTGCCCAACATTTGAGTTTTTCATCAAAATTCTGTCACAACAATCACCATTATTCACTTTATCGATATCCTATTATATATTCTAAAATCTTTTTATATATCAAGTATGCGATTATTTTCATCTCCATCGATTATCTCGAATCGAACCTAGGGTGAAATTTTTGGTTTTTAAAATGAGCATGTAAATTACCGCGTTTATTCACTTTAGTTTTTAGTTTTTGAATTTTGTTTTTTTTGTAAATCCAAAAAAGTTGATTTTATGTTGAAAATTGCTTACCAAGTTTTTTTTTATTAAAAAAACTACTTTTGTGAAAATTTGATTGTCAATTTTTTTTTTTAGATTTTAAAAACCCCAAAAGCCTTTTCTATTCAAGGTCTTAGTTATATTAATCAGTTTATATTACGTGTGGCACTTTTATGTCATTTTTTAAAATGTAGTGTTAATGTCTTAATAGGGTGAGTGAGTAACTGTTTTCAACCGTTACATTTAGTGTCCCATATGTATGTGTACTATTATGTTCTCTGTCTTTTTACGTGCAAACTTAGTGAGTGTGCTGTGTATTCAAAGGCTCTTTGAGAGGAATTAATAAGAAACAGCATTTACTCGTGGAGCAGTTTAACACGTCTATGAGGAAATTGGGTACGTCTCCGCCTCCCGCCTCGATCGAATTGGCAAGTCATTTTGGCTTGTTGGCTTGAATCCTAGGAAGATGAGAACTCAGAGAAATACACCGGGCTGTTTGCGTTCTGCGGCATATCTTGATCTAGAGGCTATTTGGACCGAGAGGAATTCAAGAATTCATAACCTATTGCTCAAGGATCTCTCGTTGCTACGTAGACACATCGATAGAGCCTTGAGAACCAAGATGGCGGTGATCCGAAACCTGCCAGTTCTCTCCTTTGGGTATGGGTTTCCAATGCGTGAATATCACCTGTGGTTACACTGCCTCAGATGCTTTGGGGATCAAAAGGGTTTGGACAAATGTTTAGTGGCTCACTCAAACAAGGTGGACATGCACTGGAAAATAATGCAATTCAACAATGACGCTAAAAGGATGTAAACCCAACTTATGGATTTACAAATTACAATCCCTTGATTGAAATGGACGAGAGAGCAAAGGATCTGAGACGGGTCGTACCGGATAAGGTGACCTGCACAAGCATGATCAGCGCAAAGAACAAAACAAAAGGAGTTCGAGAAACCGATAAAGCCATGTCAAGAACCAGTTGGTCTGATGAGTTGATGAATGCAAGTGCAGATCAGAAAACTTTGACACGACACAAATCAGTGACCCGAGACAGCAAGTAAGCTGCAACGAACATAAAGAGCCATAGGTTTTGATTTCACAGAGAGATTGCAGAAATCAAGATTGTTTTGTAATTAAATGAAGTTGTATGCACAACGCGGACACATCTTGCGCCAACTTCCAGTTGTCCTGACATATGACACAAACAATCTTTTATTTTTGGATTCTTGTTCTTCACAACAATATGGATTTTGCAATAGCACATTCATCAGCAAGCCCTAGCAAGAGGAAGGGAAAGGTACAGGATAAACCATGATCAGGTATCTAGTACAAATGGAAAGAAAAAGGATAAGCTTGTCCTGATATTACAGAATGTATTATTGCCACCGGAAATCATACGAAAAGCGAAATAATTGCTTCTCAACAAGCATTAGCATCATGAAACCAAAGGCAACTAACAGAATGTGCATTACCTGTTTGGTCATCCTGTTTTGGCTTCCGACTTTGAACTTGCTTTAGCATCAGCTTTCGAGTCTCCTTTTGCTTGACTAGTTTCTGCAACTTTTGCGTCATTCGAACAACATCCACCGCCATGGTGGTGATGGTGATGATGCCCGTGTTGATGGTTTTGCTTCCCCTTAAGCTGTTTACGCATGTCATAGGCATCCTCCCCGTCTGCGTAATACTTTGCTTCTATATCGTGAATCTTGTACCCCAACGTCTCCGTGTACAGATTGAACGCTGCTCTGTTACTTTTCCTCACATGTAGTGAGACATACTCTGCTTCATGAACCTGACATAGTACTCCAAGAACATGTTAAAACAGTTCGGGTTTGACATGAGAACTATCGACACTAGCTGAGATTCTATTTTCAAGATCTTTAGCATCCATTATCTACTAAGAAAACAACAATTGCATCAACAAGCATAACACAAAAGGCGAGTAATCTAAAAAAGCAAGTTCCTTATACGCTCTGAAGAACTTGAAACTGCTTCAAATGCAATCAACAAATACAAAAATTACCACTGCCCAAGACATGAAAGCAACTTCGACAATTGCATCCTCCATATAAAACCATTTACCATCTGGGCAAGAAAGCAATTCATGACCCTAGCAATAGAATGTCCATCATCTGGGCAACTAAGTCCAAACCCATAACGAAGAGAACAAGAACACACACCGAAATTGACAATCTTCAAAGCTCGGGTTTGCAAACTACTCCAAAACAGAGATTATCCCACAAATTCAATCACATTAAGATTGCTACGTACTGTTATATTCATGGTTTTCACCTTCCACTCAAAGCGAACCACACAAATTCAACAAAATCACGCTCAAAGAGTACGCCCCAACTAACACAATCTTTCGATTCGACCTTGTAGATCACGAACAGGGTAACAGAGAAAAACGAATCGAGAAGGTCCAATAACCTGTTCCATGGCGGCCTGAGCGGCGGTCATGAGCTTGGTGGCCAGACCGAGCTTCCTATGGGTACGAAGCACGGCGAGGGAAGTGATATGGCCATGGCACTCGTTGCTCTCTTCTTCCATCTTCGCCAAGACATAGCCGACGATACGGCCATTGTAGTCCTCGGCGACGTACAAGAGCTGAGGCCATGAGAGGATGTGGTATAGGTAATACTTCATCTGGTAGTTCTCCGGAAGACACATGAGATTGCACGCCTGCATCGCAAGGAGATCGTCCACCGTCGCTCGCCGTATGCACACCATTTCTCACCGGCCGCCTTCTTCGCTGAGGTTTGGGATTAGGGTTTCGATTGTTGAGCTTTTGTCGTTGTGCTGTATCCAAACGCTAAATGGCGATTTAGTTTCAGGTCGAAAATGTAAAAATGCAGAAAAATAGGGATTGATTTTATAAATATGATATTTTAACAAATTAGGTGTCTTAGTGGGATTAACCAAAAACAACTCATCGGAAACTTAGAAAGACATTTGGAATGAGCTACAATCGAGGAGAGTCAAATTTGGTCACATCATCTAATGTTCCCATTAGTTGTCTAATTGTATCTGATTAGATATGAAAACTCTCTTTCCCGTTGACATGCTTTTACTCCTTGTATCTAGGGTGATCATTTCGGGTTTCGGTTTAGGTTCGGTTCGGTTATATTCGGGTTCAGTTATTTCGATTATAGAAAAACTATAACTATTCGGTTTTTACATAAATTTCGGTTCGGTTATTTTTCGATTCGGTTCGGTTTCGGTAAAAAACTTATTTTTTCAAAGAAAATCATCAGTTTTTTCAGTTATTTTTTTTATTCAGTTCGGTTTCGATTTTTTCAGGTTTAAAAAAATCATAACCGTTCGGTTTTGATGTCGGGTTTGGTTCGAGTACGGTTATATCTTATTCGGTTAATAACCGAAATGGTGAGTCTTTATATCCCTCTTATATTTTATTTGTTTTCTATTTAATCGACTAACAATATTTGAATAAGAAATAATGGAAGTTTAATCTCTGTTTTCGTCATCCCAATTTCTTCATTCTCAGCCACCTTATTCTTCTCATTCTCCTTGTAAATTTTATACATCTTTATCCTAAAAACCTATGTAGTATCACAACATCGGATCACGGTAACTACTCATGTTTAATCTATTTCCACCGCAAAACCAAAGAAAATACAAGAAACATATATGTTCTCTCAATTCCTTATCGATCACTTTATTAGAGTCTTGAAAAGTTAATAATAAGAAAGAATTTAAATTTAACGATATTCTTTATATATTATCACAATATGTTATCGGGTTTTGCAGAATTTTCATTGGTAAAATCATTGCATAAATGTGGGTATATAAAATGGTTATGTATATGACCAGAGGATATGAATAATTATATACATTTATATCTAATCACCCGTTAGCCCATTATCAATATCTATCATTACACTTATTCACACATTATCGAATAAATATGTCAATGTGGTATATTTTTAAGCATTTATAATAGGATACCACGTTTTCGTATTTATAAATATCACGTATGATTATGTGTTATATATAAATTTTCGTAAATGTCTACAAAAAAAAAGTAAGATTAAGAGTTTTTCTAAGCTGTAGTTTTTGAAAAAAACTAATTTTTTGTATGATGTGATTATTGTGATCTATCTTAGAGTGATATTGATTACACTGTTAAAATTATATGATGATCATATTAATAGTATTAGTTTTATCGTTTAAAAATTTTATGATAGTTACGTTGGTTTAGTTATATTGTTCATACAAAAAAAAAAAGTTAGAAAAAAAGGTGTTCATATGGGATAAGGGGAATGGGGTATGAATTTGTAATTTTGTAACTCTAGTGGCAAAAATCGGAGGAATATAAAGAATGGGTCAAAATGAGAAATACTCTGAAACATAGGAAATCCAAATCGAAACTCTCGTCTTATGCTTATCCCTTCCTACGCCGGCTAAAACCCTCCTAAAATCTCTCCTCGCCGCCGGAGAAAATGGCAGCCAGCAGAATCTACCTCGTCGGCAATTCCATTATCCAACCTTACAAGCCATTCTTTCGCAACCCTACAATTCGTTTTCCGTCCGTTTCTCTCCGCTTCCGCCGCTTCTGCACCCCGGCGGCCGCCGCCACCGCGGTGGATACGTCTCCATCTCCCCATCCATGGCCTGAGTGGGTAACCTTTATCGACCACTTGAACAGGAAGGGTTATTTCTCCGAAAAACCTGCGGCCGCCGAAAACGGTGGCTCCGATATAGTTTACCGGGAGATGAACTTGCTTAAGGATGCTTGTCTGAGCTTCGCACGCGATCGATACGACCTTCTCAAGTATGCTTTACTGGAATTTCATACGTTCGTCTTCACTGAACGGAAGATTTCGTAGGTTATTCATGTAGTTGGTCCGTATTCTGATGCAGATCATTGTCTTTGAGAGATATACAGGCTCTCGTGGAGCGTGGATGCCCTAATCTATTGCGAAAAGCTGTTAATTCGTCCAAGAGGCTACGAGCCCATGTTCGATTGGACGAAGGAGATGTATGTCTAAGTCTTTATCCTATGTTTGCTTTACTCATTATGATTGAAGTGAATCGAAGTCTGAGCTAATAAGGGTCTTCCTCTCTCTTTCTCTTGAAGCTTTTCCAATATTTATGTATTGAAACTGTAGCAATTATGCAAGTTTTCAACTTGGAGATCTTACAATGGGAAACCCTTTTCTGATTCAGGTCTGTAGTACTTGTGACCTGCGCGACTCGTGTGATAGGGCTTATGTAATATTAAAGGATTCAGGAGATTCTGTTCGTACAGAAGACGTTATGCGTGTGTTATTGTTCAAAGCGCTTGATCCACTCATGATTTCCGGAGAGGAGAGATCTTCAGGTAGAGAACTAGCTGATGAATCGGCAAGGAAACTTCTTCTGGAGTTAGTTGAATTGAGTGAGAAGTCCCCTCACCCTCCTCCCCTCCCAAAACCTGCTTTCAAGGGCTCTCTGTCACGAAAGGAGCGGGCTTTGGAGTTGAACACTGAAAAGAGTACTGAGTAAGTAGCTTCTGTTAAGGGTGAGATATGTCATCGATCTTTATAACTTGGTGGCAAAACCTATTTCCAACGAGAAATTTAACCACTAAGTTCCTTGCACTTTCATAACTTTTGTACCATGTGATTAGCCAAAGGAGCAAACATTCACTGAGTGAAACATCTGGTATATCTCATCTGTTTAGGTTGAGGAGGAGGATATAATAAATTGCTTAGTGTTCTTGACCTCTTTGCAAGTTGAACTACCGAGAAGTTTGCTTCACTTCACTGCAATGACAATTGTTTATTATGAGAAATTAGTGTACCTTCTGATTTGATGTTGTGTTTTGCTACCCCTACTTTGCTCCAGACGGAACTTTGCGGAGAAAGGAGACAACCAAGAGTCCAATGATGCCCCCAACAAAATTTCTGTTGCCTCTGGACCCAAGAGAGGAGATTGGTACTGTCCTAAGTAAGTCTGAAACTGGGCATTACTCAGTAATATTTGACTATTTTTACCCTGATGTTTCTATCGATGAATTTGGTTTACCACTTTGTTTTCTATGAATTTCTGATCCGGCTTCGTCTTTACCCCCTCGCTCTATTTTTTCGCTGTAGATGCAACTTTCTAAACTTTGCCAAAAATGAAGTATGCCGAGACTGCAAGGAAGTCCCTGCCAATCTTTCTGTTTTTGCTAATGTCAAGGAAGGGGACTGGTTATGCCCTGAGTAAGTGTAAAACCATCCGTCCACCCCCAGAAGCTTCAACCTTTACATTATGGTTTCGTCTCTACTTACAGTTAAGATGCATTCTTTACTGGCTATTTCTTGTTGATACCGCAGATGCAAGTTCTTTAACTTTTCAAGAAACGGTCTCTGTGTGAAATGCAAAGCAAAGGGACCGAAGAAAAGCTCCATGGAGAATGCTGAAATGAAGAAAGGAGATTGGAACTGCCCCGGGTAAATTGCCCCCCGTTGTTGTGTGTCTATTTTCTCGCATTGCATTATCTTTTGCATGGTCATTAACCATATTTGCCTTTATCTTTATATTCATTGTGTCCCAAATCTTCTGATAAAGATTGGAAGTTTGTAGCACAACCTTGTCTTTGTATGTTTGCTTTATTTCTCTACACTGATCCTTTCACTTGGTATATTTTTAGGTGTGGATTCATGAACTTCACTAGGAACAAACAGTGTCTACGTTGCCAAGTTCAACGTCCCAAGAGGGATCTAAATCCTGGAGAATGGGAATGTCCCTCGTGCGTCTCTCTCTCTCTCTCTCTCTATATATATATATATATATATATATATATATATATATATATATGAAGCTTTGAAATTGCTCATTTGTGTTCCATTAGCCGGGTTTTCGTCTTTTTTGCAGATGTGACTTTTACTAACTCTCATACAGATATATATATATATATATATATATATATATATGAAGCTTTGAAATTGCTCATTTGTGTTCCATTAGCCGGGTTTTCGTCTTTTTTGCAGATGTGACTTCTTGAACTATAGGAGAAACACTGTGTGCAAGAAATGCAACTGCAAACGCCCCCAAGAAGCAACACCTGGCTACGAAGAGCATTCGTGGAGAAGGCCCTCCTAACTTTGGATTTTATCATCCTTTTGTTATTCAGTGTTATGATATCCACCAAGATATTCTCTCGTTGGCCATTGATGAAGTCAAATTCGCCTGTTTTTGAGGTACTTGGGGCCTGATCACTAGAAACGTAATTATCAGCAAACGTGGCGATTGCGATTTCTGTCGATTGTGGACAACGGGAAGAGTGACGGGTGTAATCGCAATCGCCCATTATCAAAACAAAACGTTAATATTCTAATCGCGTAAATAATCAAAATACCTTCAATTTTATAACATATATATATATATACATACAATACGTGTGTATATACATGTTACATATACATAGTATATATATATGCATAAAAATGTAAGTACATATATGCATATACATAAATGTACATACATATATACACACATATATATACATAAATATACACATGCATATATACATACACATTCGAACACACATCAATACAAATATATACATAGCTAAACCTACTTAGATTCAATTTACTTTTGTTCTTCATTGAGTTGGGACATTTTAAGTAATTTTAAATTTAAAATGACTTTAATTGTCGATTATATTTTAATGGCGGCCTTATAATTTTGATAATTTCAATTTTGTCCTTCAATATAATAATTATATTTTATTATTATTTTATTCATAAGATTTTAATTTATTTTCGAAAAAACTTAATATCTCCTTTATTCTTTTTAATGTTTCTTCCAAAAAAGGAAGTCATGATCTTTCATAATTATCTTTTGATGAGCGTTTTCAAGTATTCAACTTTTATGTCTTTTATTGTAATCAATTTATTTAATTATGTAATTATATTATTAATTTGTTCTTTTTCTATTGTACGTTGCATCCCTCTTATACTACTTTCTGTTTCTAAATATCGTATTTGTGTGTTTAATAATTCAATATTTTTCTTATATATTTTTTTTCATTTTATTCGTTAGGATTTTCTATGATATCTCTTTTAATTTCTCTTATTGCATAAAATATCGAGCTAATAATTTTTATTCTTCGATTTTCTTCATTAAGTTCATGTCGTTCAATTGTTCCGTTCGTTCTCTAAATATACTTTCTATTGTCTCAACTAACAATTGTTCAAGATGATCAAGACATGGTAAACTTTCAAGATTTAATAGGGATAGTTTTTCGATAAAATCTTCGTTGAATTTCATTTTGTAAGGTTGTTGATTTGTGATATTGTTTTTCGTAATTTAGAGTAGTCTTCCTGGTTTTCTTCCGATTGCTCAGTGTTGAATAATAAAAATGGTGATTCCTGTATTCTTAATCTTGGATTAAGTCGTAACAACGATTTACGTCCTGGTTCTATTGTTGTTAATGGTCTTTTTAAATAAATTACTGGTTTAAATAAATCATCTATTTCTATAATATCTTTGTTTCTAAAATTTAAACTGTGATGACTATTTGTTAATGCGTAGTTAATCTGATAGGTTATAGAAATAGGGTGATTTCCTTTTTTCTATGAAATCTGTTCTATCTAGTTTGTATTGGATAACTATAGAATTATCCAAACCTTTATCTTTTAATGATAATCCAAATTGTATATTAATGTTAAATTTAATTTTCTCTGAAGAAAGATTTCATTTTCCTTCAGCTATAATACTTTCTTTATAATTGGTTAATCTGTCATCTCTAATTTGAAAGGTAATCGGGGCGTCGATACCTTCTTTGAATATTGATTTTATAATTATTTGATTAGTACTACAGTGTATGTAAGCTATTTATTTTCTTTGTTTTTCGGGATAATTTCTTAGTCGTTCTAACATTTGTTCTTTGTTAATAATTAGTAGAATGAGTTCTCCTATAGTTTGTTCAATTGGTACTGGTGTTGCTCCTACCATGGTTCCGAACTTTATTATGTTTGTTCTTGATAATTGTTTCTTTATTTTTCCTAGTATAGTTTGTTCGAAGTTTTCATCTTTTTGAAGATCAAAACTTATTTTTCTTATTTTGTTTATGTCTATAATTCCATCAAAGAAATATTCTTCATTTGATTGTATAAAATTATCAAATGCAGAAGTTGATACCATACCTGATTTGTTTATGTAGATAATAATCCCTGTCGGTTGGTGTTGGTGATGATCGTTTTCTCGTTGGTGATCTGGAGATCTGATCGGCTTTTTGGTCTTGTTCAGGGATAGTGTTTAGTTCCAGAATTCTGGAATAATTGATTTGTGATTCAAAAGAATTTGTTCAAGGTCTCCAAAAGATGGAAATCTTCAAGCCAATCTTTTAAGAGATATTTTTCAGAGAGAGTTCTGAAACAAGTAGGTTTATTTCACTCTGAGTTCTCCAAACGGGGAGACCTCATATTTATACAACTTTGGAACCCTATCGGTTAGGATAAGAATCTCAAACCGGGGCCCAACTTAGACACATGACACTATAATTGCACAATAGAGTTTACAGAGACAAGGTTTCTGATAACCTTATCTTTTATTGGGTCCGAAATATTACATCAACTAGTCACATGGCCTTTTGTTCACATGTCTTCAGATTTTTCAGATGGTGGTTGGCTGTTCCTTTTCATCTTGTCCTTTAGTTCCTTGCAGATAGTGCATTTGTGGTCGTCATATCTCATCAGGAAGCTACAGAGCTGTTCCTTGATGGATTCTTCTAATCCTGCGAATTTTCTTTCTAAGTGATAGAAGTCTAATTCAAAGTCTGCTACTGCTTGCATTTCTTCCTTCGAAATTGTATCCTTGTTGTAGGTGATCATCAAAACGTTGTTGCTAGCATAATTCACCTTGATCTCTAAGTCTGCAAGGATCTTTCTTGACGCCTTAAAAACTTCAAGTAATGAATGAGCTTCCAAATCATCTGGGATTTCATAATCTGATGCATCATCTCTTGATGGCAATTCTCCATTCGCTACTCCAAGATGTATTATAGCCTGTGACTGTATGATCTTGTCTCGTCCGAAGATCGGGACTGAACTTTTAATATTCTTAAAAATAGTCATTTTCTTCGTGAATCGCTCGAAATAATTCCTGATGATTGGCTTCATTTTTCTTGAAAATTCTTCGAATATTTTCATCGAATCAGTATAAATACTGTCGACTAATCCATGTTTAAGATAATCAAAGGTCATTAATGGGTTGGCTTCTCCAATGAAGATAGCTTTTGGTCCGACTCTGGTCATTTTTGGGTAAAAACCCATGGTGGTGTGTTTTTCCTTGTAGTCCACTAGGGATGTTCAGTAGGACTGGTATTTTTCGAGGGTGACTTGTTTCATGGCTTCTTTTTCTTGTCTGGTTGGTATTTAGGCTATTATTGGTATTCTCATTGAGGATAGTTGGGCCTTTGGTTCAATTGGTTGCTTTTGGGCCATGGTTTTGTATGATTCATTGAGGGCTTTTTGGGCCTCTTCTTTGGTCTGGAAAGCTCGGTATGAAACCTTCTTTCCTATGGTATGTTGCAAAATAATCACATAGTTCATGTATATTCCTCTGAATGGTCCATTGAAGATAGCATATCATTTGTCCGATTTTTCTTCCACTTTGATGTCAGTAGGAAGTGTTACCTTTTCTGATTCTTTTTCTGATTCTTTTTCTGATTCTTTTTCTTGTTCTTGTTTTTGATCTTCTACTGGTGTTCCACCAGGTTCTTTTATGATGATATTCAAAGATTTGATCAACTCATCCTTCTCCTCAAAGAGTTTTGAGATATTTTCTTGAACTGTTTTGATTTGTGTGTCTTTCTGACTGATCTGATTCTGAATTGTCTTGATTATTTCTTCAATTCTCTTGTTAGAGTGTCTGCAAAACAATTATTTGCAGATTTAATATATTTAATATATGGTTCAAATTGATGTAATTCTAATTGCCATCGAATTAATCGTCCTTTTTGGAATTCCGGTTGAATTTTATATCTCTAGAATCCTGTTACGTATTGTGAATCAGTTCTTAATTCGAACCGTGTTTGTAATAAGTCAATTTTCCATTTCTTTAGAGCTCGAAGACAAGCAAGTGTTTCGAGTTCATGAATTGGATAATTCATCTCGGTTTTTGAAAATGTTCCTGAAATATATTTGCATAACATTGTATTTTGTTTTTCAGTTTTTAGGACTTCATTATTATCGTTACGATCGTATTGGTCAAGATGAAGTAATTCTCTTCCATCTTTTATTGCTAACATGCATCATGCCCAAACTTCTTTAGATACATTTGTCTCAATGATCAGAAAGTCTTTGGTCGTTGGATTGTATAATTTTGGTAATATCTTTATATTTTCTTTTATATATTTTACTAAATTTGTATCTTGGTTAGACCAAGACCATGATACTTTATCCGATATTTTCTTTTGTAATTGTTTTCGTTTCTTTGCTAGGGATTTGAGAAATCCTTGTTCAGAAACATAATTAAGGCACCCAAGGAACCTTTGTATTTGTTTTCTGTCTGTTAATTCGTTAGGAAATTGTTGTATTTTTTCATGTACATTATTTGTTAGTTCAATTTCTCCGTTGTTATTTATTTTTAATCCAAGATATTCAATTTCTTGTTGTACTAGTTTTGATTTCTTTTTAGAAATAATTAATCATTTTTCTTTGCATCGCTCTAGAACGGTGATTAATTTTTCAGTGTGTTCTGATTGTGATCCGTTTGTAAATATTATGATATCATCAATATATGCTAGACAATATTCTTCTAATCCACAGAGATTTCTATCCATGAATTGTTGATATATTGCTGGTGCTTGTTTTAATCCAAATGGAAGAACATTCCATTCATAATGTTTTTGTGGAGGGCATGAAAATGCCGTTAATGGTTTTGTTTGTTCTGACAATCGAAGTTGCCAGTATCCTGATTTAGCATCTAGACTGCTAAACCAGTTTTTTTCTTTTATTCTTTCAAGAATATAATCATTTCTTGGTAATTTATAACTATTTCCAACAGTTTCTTCATTTAGTTTTTTATAGTTTATTACCACTCTTCTTTTTCCTCATTTTATTTCATTTTACGTAGAAAGGTGGGGCCAAGTGTGGACTTGTGCTTGTTGGATAATCTACGGGTTCCTAGCATTCGATCATATCGATCTAGGGTTTGGTTTACTAAGTTTCATGCAGCAGAAGAAAGATCTAAACCTAGTCAAGCGTCACGCGCAACCAAACTTGCAAAACCCGAAAGATCGTGTATATCACCGAGGGAATCGTTACTTACCTCGTTCTCAATGAAACTTGAAGTTAAGTTCGATCCGGGGCCTGTTCTAAACCACCTAGGACTGAAGTTACAGTCCCTCTACACGTATCCACACCGACGGGAAGGATTCCAAACGATTTGGAACGAATCTGCTAGGATTAGTGAAGAAAATGGTAACTCAAGAGACGAGATCCAATCCCGGGACAATAGAAATCGAAGAGAACATGTTCTCTAGGGTTCTAGGATGTTTCTCTGAGTTTTAGGGCGGCCTTAATTAAGTTTGAACGAAATCCCAAACTTAAATAAGCTTAGAAAACCCTAAATCCGAATTTTGGAAAATTTCGAGATCCCGGTCCGGCAGACCAAGCTTAGTCCGAGCCCTTCGGACAGCCTGACTTGAAGGCTTTGTCCGGCTGACCAAGTTTTGGTCAGCTCCGGACCAAGTTCCTTTTTCGTCAGCTCAGTCCGACTCACGTTTTCTCGGTCCGCCTGACCCAGGGTCTAGTCTGGGGCTGACCAACTCTTGGTCAGCCGGACCAGACCTGGATAGAAAACCTCGGACCGAGCTTCCGGACCACCTGGACTGACCAAACTTGGTCCGGGGCTGACCAAACTTGGTCAGCTCTAGACCAACACACTGAAAACTCTTTTTCATGCTCGTTTCGGTCAAATCTCGTTTCCATTCTTCGGATTCTTCACGTATAAGTCTATCCCTAGTGGTATGTGACCCTGTAGGCTCATTCTAAGTGGTAGTGACTTTGGGAACCTTTCCCGAACCACAAGTCATGGTTAGCTTCTAGCAAGATGCCATGACCACCCACTTAGAATTGAGTTAGAGGTGATCTAACCAAGTCATTAACCGCTCAAATTCTGATCCTTTGTCTCACGATATCATAAGTTGAACAAGGGCATGGTTTGAGCCACCCTTCAAGTTCAACCGCTTTCTCGTCTTGGCAAATCGACTAATAAAATAGATACAACTTCATCTATAGCGTGGTCACGCGTTTTTCATAGTCCGACTTCCACGGGAGGGCCCAACGATATCTCTCCTGGTAAGGAGGTGACAAGTCTCATATTGCAGGTCTACTATCTCCATATGATTCGTGAACGTATCTGATCAACGCCGTTATAATCATCCGGTTAAAGACGACGTTTGACGCAGTCAAGACACGCCACTTCTCATATCAGATACTCCAGACATCTCAGGTCTGATGATCCAAGAACGAACCGATGTATGAGATTCAAGTCATGACTCTGTCCATGTGACAATCTCATGCGGGTCATCCAGTCACTCGTTCACAACGAGTACCCATGATTGTGATAAGCATCCAATGCATCGATCACACCTCATGCTAGTCTTAATTATTCATTGTTCCCACAACGATAACTGACTAAGGAGTTTAGAATCATTCTCTAATGATTCAAGGATGTCGAAATACAACAAACATGCCGATCGTATAATGGGCAAAGTAATGCATCCATAAATCAGTGAATCAATACAAAGTCAAATGTCATATCACGGATCATCCTAGAACATTACAACCAACAATGCTTTCTCGTATAATACCTTTATCTAATAGTTCTTTGTATTCTTTGGTGAATTCTTCCACATCTCTGTGGGTATATTGCATTTTATTTGCTACATTGATTTCATCTTCGGTGTTTTTTAGTTTTATTACTATTAGCTCTTCATTTGTATTTTTTATATCTAACGGATTATCGCTACATATTTCATCAAGCTTTTGTTCAATATGAGTCATACTTATAAATGTTAGTCTGTTTTTTAAATCTTCTATAATAGATTTTATTATTTCATTTTTTGTTATTATTTTTGTTGTAACTAATTCTGATTTTTGGTTTTCTATTTTAGGTGCTTTCAAGCTGACCATTTTTATTCTTTGCATAAATGATTGATATAATTTTAGAAAATTATTTCCTATAATTATATCTAATCCAGAATCATGTTGATATATTGTTTTTGCTGGAAATATTTTAGTCTCAATAATTATTGATACGTGTTGTGCCACATACCAGATTTCATGGGCTGATTTATCAGCCACAACTACCCGTAGTGGTTTTTCTAATCGTACCCATTTTTTGATGATATTTCTTTTAGCAAAACATAGAGTTGCTTCGGTGTCTATGTATGCTAATAGTTTTTTATTTTTAATAGTTATTTGTATAAATGTTGCATTAGGGTTTCCTGATTTTAGTATTTTTCTATTCATTTTCTGAATCGGATGATTCAGTAGTATATGCATATATTTCGATATCACAGTCGAACTCTGAATCTGATTCGATTGGTTCAAAGCCCATATCGTATGGTATTCGTAATATTTCTGTTTCTTTTTTCTTTCTCTTTTTAGGACATTCATTTGCATAATGTCCTTCTTCTTGGCATAGCCAACATTTGCAATTCTTTTTCTTAGAAGGACAGTATGTGTCCTCCTTACCATAGTTTTTCTTTTTTGTATTGTTTTCTATTTCTGAAATATTTTTATGGTATATATTTTTGTTTTCTGTATTTTTTATATGAGATTTTTTTCATTTCTTTTTCTTATGTTTTTGGCGAATAGGTTCACAACCATATTTGCCTATTTGTCCTGGTATTGCTCCACAACATAATTTATCAATTTTTGCTTCCTCCCAGAGTATTGGGGGTTTGTTCTTCATTTACTTTATTCTAAAATATAGTTTTTATTTCTTCTGATATTGATAAAGGTAATTTATCAAAGAATAACTCTCCGACTACTATTTTCTTATCTGTTGCAATTGATAGTAATGATCTCTGAATTCACAAATAAATGCTTCAAGATAGCACATATTGCAAATTCTAAGATTTACTATTTTCCATAATGCAACTTCTGATATTAGTGTTTCTCTTAGTTGTGCGTTAGAAGTTCTCCCAAGAAATTCTTCCCCTATTATGTCGATTAGTCTAACAAATGTTTCCCATGCAGTTGATCTTGGAATTTTTTCTGCTTTTATTCCTGATGATAATCCTCTTAAGTAGTTATACACTATTCCTGTTGTTTTATGTTCTAAATAACTTAACATTTCGTGAGGGTGTAGTTCTCTTAATTCCTTCTTAATTTGTATTAGTAAATTTGTACGATTTTCCAATCTTCTAATGTTCCGATTGGATTAATTTCACAATCTAAATTTAAAATTTCTGAAGATTTTATATTAAATGTATCATATTTTAGAATATATCCAAAAGGGACTTTTCTCCAATTGTTTTCCTTCGGAATATATTGGTTTTGATATAATTCGTATTCATGATCTTTGTATCATTGATATTCATCATGTGTTCGTTTTTTAGGTAATGTATTATTATTACTGTTATCTCCCCTTTCTAGTTCAGATTTAACTAGGAAAGGATTATCATATGGACTTTCGTAGGGATTTTCATCACTACTATAGTCTAAGACAATTTTTTCAGTTTCATCAGGTTGTTTTTCTTCGGGTATATTAAGAGCAGCTAATAATGTTGATAATTTTTCTATCTGATCATCTAATCCTTCCATTATATTTTTGGTGGTGATATAATTCGAAGATTAGTTTGATCGATAATAATTAATTCTTTTGTTTCTTTCTTAGAATAACTTTATAAATATTTTATAGTGATATATCTGTTTTGATTAAGTCGTTCGATTATTTCTTGTAACTGTTCTATTATTTCTAATATTTTTGATTTTTCATCTTCGTCTGGATCTATTATTTCTTTTCCTTTATTTTTTGTAATAATATTTTTTATTAATTCTTTTACTTCGTTAAGTTCTTTTATTATTTGAATTTTTCTGTTATTATAACTGTAATTATTTGTTGTTGTGAGTATTTCTGTTATATTTAGTAATAATTCTTTTAATTCGATAGTTGTTTCTCTAATTAATTTTTCTATAGTTTCCTTTATAGTTTCTGTCATCCTATTATTGTTTTAATGTATTCTTTTAATTCTTCAAAGTTCAGACTGTTGTTTCATTTCTTTAATACTTTTTTCTTGTAGATATATTATTTCTTCTAATTTTTTATTTATATCATTTATATTTTTAGTTTCATCTTGTTTCTCATGGTTCTGTTAGAATATTTTTATTAATCTTTATAGTTGATTTTCTAAATCTGATTTTATATTTTCAATGTTTTTTTTAATTCTTCGTGATTTTCTGGATTTTGATGTATGATTCCATAAGAAATCATTTCAACAATATTATTTAAGGTAAAACTTATTTTCTTTATTTTATTTCCGAGATTATGATTAGTATCATCATCAAAGATGATATCAATATAACATCGACTTTGATTATGAAGACTTTTTGGTATTGTTATCACCTTTCCTTTATAAGAAAATCCGGGATAACACTCGTCTTCGTTCGTTAATATTAATGGTAATCCTTTTGAAAAATCAATTTTTTCGTTATCCATAATCGTTGCTTTGCTCTGATACCAAATGTAAATCAAATGTAATTCGTGCGGATTTTGTCAGTTTAAAATTTTAGTTAGACTGGTTAAACTGGTCATACCTTTTCAAACTAGTCATACCAAGAAAATTTGGTCATACTAGTTGTTTTGGTTTTATCGTAATTTTTTCAAAAATGTTGGATTTTTGGGAAATCCTATACATTCAAAGGTTATGCTTGTTGCTATTTTCATTTCCAAGGTTATTTTTGTTATTTTGCCCATTGAGTTCCCAAGTTTCAATAACAGGAAGAATGTGTATCAGTATCCAAAAATTATGGCACTTACATGCAAAAGAAATGTAAACCGGTATTATTTGTGTGATTTTTTTTAACAAGCTTGGATGTGTTCTTTGTTCTTGAAGAACATGGATTCTCCCTCTTTTTTTTTTGTAAATTCTATTAATTCAAATGATGGTTACCCGTCAATCTGAATTGCACTAAAGACAAATAAAACGAGACAACATTTCATATGTCATCTGAAGTTTGATGCAATTTGCAGACAAGTGAAGTTACAACATGCTTTCTCATGACTTTAGAGAGATGCTGAAACAAAAAGATGTTGCTTTTACTTGTTAACCACTTACCTAACGTATATGCACGCAAAAACTACCATTTCATCAACTAATCTTCCATCTTCAGCTTCCTTCTTGCTTCTTCATCCACCGAACCAGGCGTCTTGAGACATGGCTTTAGCGGTGGGCCTTCGTCTTGTGCCGCGTTGACTGCGTCTCTTTCGGAGCTATGCTCGAAAAGGTCAAACCTGTAAACAACCTTAGACTGACCGAATGAAATCTTTTCACTTCGGGCATACTTGTAAGCCATCACTGCATCTATGCTCCTAAAGAATGCTACCTTCCCAATCCTTCTACACTTGTCTACATATGTTTTTGAGGCATCTATTTTCCCAAACACGCTGAATCTCTTTACCAGACTGGCTTCTGATGGGATATCTTCCCGGTTTCCCAAGAACTTCATCCGCAAACACCTTGGATCAGCAATCCGCATGGCTTTCGACGTCTGTTGATTCTTCAAGGGTTTATCAAAAGATGCCTTTTTCTGTTTCTTGAATCTATCTGCTGATGTTGATTTTAGGCTCTCTTTCCTCTTCGTCTTGTCGGATTTGACATTACCATGATTCCCCGTCTGGTCTACATGAGTTGTTGTCGCAATGTCCTGCTTTGCCAACGGACGCAGGGATTTGCAAGGTTTCACTGAGATGCTAGATCCAGAGTTAGCACGAGGGTTCCTCAGATTCCATGAGCAAATCTCATCTACAACAAGCTGTCCCTCGTGTGAAGGATGATACCTTCCACCACTCAAATATTTATGATTTCCTGTGCCTGACCCTGAGCCTGCCGTCTTCGAACATACAGGATCTACGCCAAGACAATCATCCTCTTCGTTTGATGGGTCAGGACATGATTCTGATTCTTCAGGATGACCCATTCGCTCTCGCTCAGCACCTGACCAGAGGATATTCGTATGGATAGGGCATGAGCAAAAGTTTTCCCATCAAAGTAACATATGGGTCATTCAAGGAAAGCAATGAAAATGTGACAGCCTGCACTGAAGACATTGAAACAATTGCGAAGAGGGAGACAAAGATTTAACATTTGGCTGCCCTTTCTCTTCATCTAGGACTGATCAAACCAAACAGTATGCAAAATTTGCGCCAACCAACTGAGTTTCTTTCCCGATCAAAGTACACAAAACTAGAAAGACGGCCAACACCAAGCAAATCCAGAAGACGAAAAGGATCGATTGAGAAGACGATGCATCGGTACTTACTTGATCTAATTTCCTCGTGGAGAGCCTCGGATTGCTCGAAATCGACGGTATAACGCCGAAAACTAAGGATTTGGGCGGTCGAACGATTCGCGTCGGCTAAACCTTCGAGAGGCACCGAGAATGAAATGGCGATTTCCCGAACAAACCCAAGAGCCATTTCCGAACTGAGCGAAGACCAAAGGATGGAAGATTCTCTGTCCAAGTACGGAGAAGTGATTGGAGGTTGGCAAGGACACCAGAGGCCGTACGAGACACTCCAAAAGTGAGCTCTCAGGGCTCGGTTCACGATCCGGCGGCGAAGCCCACTCGAACTCAAGATTCGGGTTCCGAAATCGTGCTCGAAGCGACGGAGAAAAGGAGCGGGAAAGTAGCGGGGTTCCTTGAGGCCGAGGAGCGATACCAGAACTCCGAACGATTCAGATGGATCTTCGATCCGAGCCGGAATCCATGAATCTCGATAGTTGATGTTCGCCCACACTAGCTCCCCTTTCTTCCACATTCCCCCCTGAGATTCAGGTTCTCTTCCCGACACCACTTCTGGATAACCCAATCCAATTAATCCAAAACCATATGGATAATCCAAAACCATATGGATTTTACAATTTTTGGGGTTGGTTTAATCCAAAACCATATGGATTTTATAATTTTTGGGGTTGGTTTAACCCAACCCAATAAAAATACACTAAAATTTAAATGGGTTGGACTAACCCAACAAACCTCACTAAACCCATCAAACCCAATTAATAAATTAAACAATAATTAATTTATTATCTAAATCATAATATTTTTACAAAAATTCTATTAAATCAAATTTAATTCGTTTCTATTCGGATATATTCGTTCGATTTGACGGATCAAATTCGATTCTATTTGATTCGTTTCGATCCGTTTCGAATCTTGAAATTCTACTCGTTTCGATTCAACTCGATTTGTCTGTTTCGAATTGACCATTTTTATTCGAATCAATCTTTTTAATAAAATTCACATTCTATACGAAATTTTTGGCTTTTCCCAAATTTTTATGTATTATTTGGGTTGGATTTTTTATTTTTGAATAAATCTTGTATATTTGATTTTATACCGAAATCGGTTATATATTATTTGGTTTGAATAATTCAATTTTTATTTTATTAATAGAATAAGAAAAAATATTTATTAATTAAGATTTATATTCATAATGGGTTTATGAGTTTATCCATTTAATCCATATTTTTAGTGGGTTAAACCCATAAAACACATTTAATTAAACCAATCCAAATAATATACCCAAATATATTTTTTTATTGGATTGGATTGGGTTAACCCATTTAACCCAATCCATTTGACATCTCTATCTGTGGGGTATTTCAGTCTATACATATGGAATTCTCAAACAAAAATTTACATCAAATTTTCTACAAAATTATTTAAATATCTTTAATGATAAAATATCCGAAATAAAATAAATTAAAAAGAAAAAATAAGTTTTAAAAATTAGACATTGTTTCGTTCTCTCTCCTCCTTTATTTTATCGTCTTCTTCTTTCCAAATTTTCACCATTGTTACGAATAATTGGGTTGAAAATCGATTTTCGTATCATTTTTTGTGCGATTTATGGAAAAATCTGTTACTAAGGTTTAATGACTGTAAAACCCAATAAATTATGTTCAGTATTGGAAGATCAGCTTGATCAGTATAATGTCTTCTCAAATAAAAAACAACCATCGCTACAATTTCTTATTTTGTTTTGCTTTTTTTTTTTCTTTCTGATTGTAACACCGGTGAATATATATGAATATTCATATGCTTTATGACTATAAAACACTCAGATTTTTTTTATTTTTTATCATTGTTCGCAGTTTTCACAAACAACTTTTTTTTTGGAACCGACATCTTACGTCTACTTCTTATAAATATGGTTTTAACTTATATACATTGTATTCAAAACATGCAAACTTCCATTACTTTCATCTTTAGTTCATACTTATTCACAAACTCATGATCCACTAGAAAACCCAATCTGTCTTTGAATGAAAAACCTTCATTCTCATTCGCATGTCTTTGACCATCCTTCCCAATCGTATTTTCAACTGCAATGTCATCAACCGCAACAACCACTTCATTACTTATCTCAATCATTTTTCCAACAACAATAGTGTCAGTTGTAACAACAACTTCATTACATAACTCAATCATATTTTCAACTCCAACGGCCTTAATCACAACAACCACTTCATTCTCATATTGTATATGGTCGTGCAAAATCTCCTGCTCAACCCCATAGGAATCAAGGATCAATTCTACATGATTTTGTTCTCTTTTTTCTCTTTCAAGTGCTCTCAACACAGAATCCACAACTAAACCACTACCATCAACAACCTATCTTCCTTCTTCACGATTCACATCAACACCTCAACTTCACCTACACATATGTGGTTTAGCGTTCCATCATTTCCTTTCGCTCTGCACATAACCATCCTCCCCGTCTATTAATTTTGCTAAACATAAAAGATTTTGTTCCCATGTCATCAACTATATATTCCGATCGATTTTCATTCATAACCATTGGTAAGAAGTTTAATTTCATTGTTTCGAAATCAACATTTAGCTAACCACAAACAGTTTCAATAAGCTCATCATGTGTCACTTGGCTTGATTTGTTACAAATACTATTGTCTTACTACTATCTTATCTGTGATACCCGTAACCCCGTCCACATGGAGAAATACGAAAATAAAATAATGTGGTAGCAAAAACACGAAAATCCAAAAACATTTATCAAAAGAGTAAGCAGCGGAAATACATCACGCGATCAGCGTCGCCAAACAACACATGTCTGAATAGTAAATAGTACAACTGTACAAAAGGCGGGAATACAAGTCCTGTAGTCCAAAATACAAAACCCGTATATGATTCTGCTTCTCTTAAGTCATCGTCGTCCGGATACGCTACACGTACTCCTTGTGATCTAAAAAAAATAAAACCACGAGGACTAAACGCAACTGCTTAGTGAGTAGTCCGAATTGAACCCGGTAATCTCGTTCTCAATGAGAATGGTGTTAATCGATGATTCACAATAAACAGGAAAACAATAATAATCATGCATAATCACATCAGTCGCAATCACATCAATCACAATCATACCCGTATGATGTCGCGTCATAGGGTTAGCCTATAAACCCTAGTCAAATCGGCATGACTAAGAGCATCTCGCACGCCCATCACATCTCGTGACGTTGGCCATCGCGTCGCACGTGACTGTGTGCGCCTCACGCGCTTGTTACATCTTGTGACAACCGATGTCACCTCGCGTGACACAACGGAATACAATCACACCCGTACAGCGTCCACCATAGGGTTTAGCCATAAACCCTAGTCAAGTCGGCATGACTAGGAACGCCTCACACGTCCGTCACCTTCCATGACGTTGGTTGTCGCCTCGCACGACTTATTGCGTCTCACACGCCCGTCATGTCACATGACAGTGATAGGTGCCCCACACAACTATATACAAGCATAAACATGCTCCACTCGCATCGCATGAGCAAGCTACAAACATGACACACATCATGCGTATATACCCCTGGTACAATCAGGCGCATCACGGTATTCGGTCCCTACCGACCTACCGTTTAATGCCATGCAAGCTACCTGAAATAATCACATGTTGAGTCACTCTCATCGTTGGATCGCACATCTCACCGCATGTAACCAATCGAAAATTTGCCGAAAAGTGGGTTTTGTGCCTTGGACCGGTCGGTTCCAATGTCTGGACTAGTCGGTCTAGACGTCTGTTCGAGGTTTATGAAATCGTGAGTCCAGACCGGTTGATCAATGGTTCCTAGGTCGGTCCGAGACCTGGATTTCGTCTTCTTCGTGAAAACAGGTTTCTGGTCCGACTTTGTTTGGTCGTTTCTCCCTCATTTCTCAACCAAATCACATCCCGTTTATTGCAAAATGTTTAGTTAAACGTCCTCTATTCAATCCAATCAATCAAAATAACACAATAACACGATGAAAACGAGTTTACACAGATCCAACTCAAGCCACTCACCTTGTTCTTGGCTCAGTTATGGTTTTGGCCGGATTTGTTGTTGTTTTCCGATCTCTTTCTCGCCAGAGACCTCTTCTAGACACTCTAGGAATGTCCCCTTTGTGTTCCCGAGCTCCCTTGCGCTGGTTCTTTTCCTTTCTCCCTCTTTCTCTCTCTCTTTCTCTTTTCTCTTTTATGTAACACTTAGCCAGGAATGGCTAAGTCTCTGCCTTTGGGAGAGTTTTTAGCATGAGAAAGAGGTGGAATGGGCTCAAACCCAGGCCCAGCTTCAAGCCTGCAACGTTCTGACGGGTTAGACGATGATTTGATGTCGGTGGGCCATTTTTCTGCCATGAAAAACATGAACCAAGGTGGCAAGTCAGCCACTTGCGTCCTCTGTTCGTCAGACCGGTCGGTCTGGCTCTGAATCGGTCGGTCTGATGTCGAATTTCAATTTTTTTTGCGTACCTTGGTCCGCTCGAACCACTGTCGGTCCGACTCAGACCGTCGTCCCAGACCGATCGGTCTACACATGGAACGATCAGTCTGGACGAATTTTTCTCCTGTTTTCTTTTCTTTTCTTCATCTTATCGCACGTGGTGATTCATGTGTCCTCTCTCAATATTGTAGTATTCCTTTTTGGCAATTTTGTAATATATTTATTCAATTATTTATCTCGTAAATAATTAAATACTCGGATCCGGATTTTGGGGTATTACATTATCTCTTTTCCATTCAAATCCATATTATTTCTGTCTCAAATACCATCATATTGAATACAAACAAATGTATACAAATCTTCAAAACCATCCATTTTTTCTGTAAAAAAATGTCAACATTTTATCATTCTCTACAAACGTAATCAATTTTCCTCATCAATATCAAACCCTAGAACATTAACAATGCCACAATAATGAACGAAATTCATTGGGGTTTATAGTCATTATATCTTAATAGCAAATTTTTTCATCAAACACATAAAAAAAGACGCAAAAATCGATTTCCAACTCAATGATTCGTAACAATGACGGAAACATGGAGAAGAAGAGAATGACGATGAAACGGTGAGGATGAGAGAGAATGAAGCAATAAATCTATCTGATTTTTAAATCTCATATTTTCTTTTAATTTACTTTTCATGAGTGTATTTCAAACATTTTGTCACTAAGGATATTTAAGTAATTTTATAGAAAATCTAGTGTATAATCTGTTAAAATTTTCGCTGAGGATTTTATAGATGTACCACTGATATACAAGCGACAAAAATGATGTATTTGAGTAAATTCTATAGAAGGTTAGATGGTAATCGTCTGATCGATATGATATAGTATATTAAAATCGCATGTCTACACTACTTGTTTTTTAAAGAGGAAGTTGAACTACATGTTGTATTTTTGCAAAATGATTAAATGATTTCTACTCCATTAAACTCATTTAAATTTATGTAATTACAAATCTTAATTAGATAAATATTTCTAATCAATTAATAAAATCAAAATCGACTTAGTTTGAACCAAATAACATGTGACAAAGTTCTATA